GGCAAGACTTTCCACGACCACTCTACTTAAACTGCCAACCCAACCCCACCGGGCAGCCCTGCCCCCTTCTCTGCTTTTTCTGCACAGTACGTATATCCCTCTGGCATGGGATGTATTTGACTTATTGATTTTGAAAACTTTTAGTTGACAGGGACTTTTGTCTGCCTTGTTCACAGCTGTATCTTCTGTACTTAGAACAGGCCTTAGCACGCAGTAGGTCCTCCATAAAAATTTACCGAATCAATTTTGAGTACTTTGTTCATCCCATTTCCTCTGCAGAGTCATGAGCTTCCTTCACTGTTTACCTGGAAATCTGCTACTATCTTACTGTGCCCAGCTAAGAATGCCCTCTCAAGCTTTACTTGATTTTCTCCTACCCACAACATGTCACTTATCCCAAGGCATCGAGGCTGTTTGTGTGCAGCTGGATTCCAAGCTGCTTGGGGGCAGAAACTCATTTCTATGCCACTCCATGCTGTGCTGAGCAGGCGGCACATAGTGAACCCTAATTCCCCACCTGCTGAATGGACGGAGAATGAATGGGAAACTGGACTAGGAGATCACTCTATTAGTAACATGTGGGGAAAAAAAAAAGCAGCTTTAAAGATACTCTGTTGATATCAAAGATTCAGGTTTCCTTATGTTCTTCAATACTTACTGCATTTATATTTAATATCTTTCTGGAAAGTTTGAGATGCAAAAACAAATAAACTTTCTAATAATTCATGCCTATCGGGGCTTAGGAAGCAAGTAACTTGGGGTATTCTAAAACACTGCAGTGTCAAGTGAAAGAAAAAAGTTGATAAATTCCTACGTTTCAAATTTGAATACACGCATACATAAGCAGACACGTATAGAGAATAACTAATTCGCTTCCAAAAGGAGACATATATAAAACCCACACGAACCACCCAGTCCCTTCTCCAGATGCTATAGCAGTATATATTCCCACATGCAGTTAAGTAACTGGATTTTGCAAGATTGCGACTCTGCAATGTTATTCTATTCACAGCTAGTCTTTAGAGTGTAAAAGAAGTCATCGGAAAATTGTTCAAATGATAAAAGTCACAATTTGTGGAAATACACATCTACCTTAACTCCTACCTGAAAGGCTAAAAATTATTGTCTATTTTATTAGGTTCAAAATATGTTTCAAGAACTAATGGCTTTTAGGATATAAAAGGAAATGTAGACCATTCCCAAAGAATGCTCTGCTCAAATGCACATCCTATTTAACAAACAAGGATCACCAATTTTCAAAGGATTAGATTATACAGAGATATGCAGCTTAAAACTTGCATATACGCACTTCACATGTTCTTTAATAATTCTGTTGTTTTAAACATCCAGGTATACAGATCGCTAGGTTCTCAGGGCGGTCCTAAGATGTACACTTTGAGTAGTAAGACCGGGCCTGCTTCCCTGCCGCACTGCCTGCAGCATCCCCTCACCTGGGGGCTTTTGGTATCAATTAGGTGGAGGAAGAGTGCCGCATACTCTGGTTTGCAAGGCCAGTGAATGAGTCTGAAAACCAAGATGTTTCCCTGAGCACCAGGGCCACCACTCCTTGGGCTCTGTACAATGTCGCACAAGAAAGGAGAAAAGGAGAGGAGCACCCTCACTCCAGCAGGATGTGGCGCGACTGCAGCACACTAATTATCACCTGAGACAACCCCGGGTACGGGAAGAGGGAACGGACTGGGCAATGAGATTCCAGCTGCAAAGGAAACCCAATCCCTTCAGGTACGGTGGCAGTTAGAAGATCCCTCCTTTTAAACAGGTGTTTCAGAAATGCCTTGCTGCCTATAGTTTCTATTCCTGTCCCAGGAGAATGGAATTTAACAGTAAACATCCCTCACCAGAAGTTGGTTTGCCATCCTGGCAGACCTCACATGCAGTTTGGCAACAGTGTGATGCTCATGGTTTCACAAGATCTGAACAAGAGCGCGCTGAGCCCTGGCTCTGCACCCGCAAAGCCCTTTAACTGGGAGAAAGCAGAGGACGAGAGGTGTCCTTGTCCTGGCGGGGCAAGGAGCTGGTGTGGACAGCATCACCCTGGGGCTCAGCCTCTCGGTTTTCTGAGTATCTCTGTGAGAGGTAACTGACTGGAGCACGTGCCAAGGTGGGGTCCATCACTGACAGGAAACAGCAAGGGACAGCTAAGTGCCCATCAGCTCACACCTGAAGGGGCAGTCAGCCCCTTTACTCCCTCCATCCTGTGAAGGATGTGCCTCTTAAAAAGCTCTGGGGCCTCAAAGCGGTGGGGGGTGGGGAGCTTCTTTAGGAGAGGCTTTCTCACCTTCTAACACATTTGGTTTCTAAAGTAAGAGTGTGTCCGGTCTGCACAGTGGCTGGCTATCCCTCCTCTCCACCCACCACCCTCTCTTTCATCATCTCCAACAAACGTTTCCTCTGCATTCCAGTCTGCTCCTCCCTTCTCCCCTCAACCCTTTCCTCCTCAGCCCACGTGCTCTGGCAGTGCACCCCGGGGCCACAGCATCTGTGGGCCTGGAAACCTGCCCGTTGGGTTTGCCAGCCCAGCGCCCCGCTGCCCAGCCTCCCGCGTTGTGGCGACATGGCCCAGCACTTCCTTTCCCTCTGTCCCACCCCAAGGCCAAGGGGCGCTCTTCCCTCCGCCCCTGAGTCCTTCCTGTTTCCCAGGCCAGGTCCATCCAGGACACTCAACTGCCAGGGGTCAGAATGCCACATTCCAGTGGCTTCACACCCCCCACGGGAGGGCTCCGGATTCCTGCATGGGGGGTAGGGGTGGGGCAGGGAGGCGGGCAGGGAGGGAGAAGTTCAGCAGAGAATGATTCAGCCCGCTGTGCCCACTACTCTGAGACCAAGGTCACGGAGAGGTGGGGAACAGGGGTCCCAAGAGCTCCCTCCAGAGTGGGCAAGAGGAGGCCTCTTGCCTTCCTCTCTGGGTTTGGAAGGAAGAAGCCATCACTGCAGGTGCAGCAGAAACTGTTAAAAAGCATAAGGGGACATAACGAACTGTGATGGGCCTGGATTCCTAAAGCTGTAAAATGAGGAGGCTGGCCTAGAGATGCTCTTCTAACTCCTTAACTCCAACTCCATAATTCTCTGACTCCTGGTACAGCAACAGTGCTCTGACCTCAGACATTTCTAAGGTCTGACGTATTTTTGGCTAACAAACAGAATGCCACTTCTCACTCAGAAGACAACCAAACTTCCCTAACCTCCCAAAGCCAAAGCCTCCTCTTGCAGTATGGATTCCTCTGCCTCCAACTCAGTGTCTCTCAGATCCTCTTGGTGTCTTTCTTGTGATTTCTGTGTACTTTGGGCTTTAACTCTGCGGAGTCTGGGCTCAAATCCTCAAGCCCTGGCCCCTTAAGGGCCTCCCAGCTCTCCCTGCTTGCACAGCCGCAGGGAGATCAGGCTCCCAGAGGTACAACCCACCGAGGTCACCCTCTGGATCTAAGGGCCACAGCATGCTGGGACTTGAAGACTCAGGCCCACCCTGACCCAAGGGGGGGCCCTGGGAGACTCATGGCACAGCGCCCCATGCTGAGTCCCTCCAACACAGAAGTTCAGCTCCACTGGTACCAGAAACTGTGGAGAAATGAGGAGTCGGGAGCCCAAAGCAATCACTGTGTGAAGAGATGATTAGGCTGACTTCGGTCTTGGCTCAGGACCTCCTACTCCCTCCCAAGATGGTCAAGGCAACATCCTCTCCTGGAGGACGGGGGAGCAGGGGAGGCATTCAGCCTCCTCAGGACAGGAGTCAGCTGGCTCATCGGGTACCTGATTGATGGGCACAGAATTTGGAAGGGAAGGAAAAAAGATATGGTGCTAGGGAAACTGGGAGAGGGGAAAACCATCATGCGATAGACAAAGTCATAAAAAGAACTTGTTACAAAGTCATAAATACCATTTGTCAGCCAGGTTCTGCCTCTCTAACACCCTCTGCAGAGAAAACACCCCCAAGTGATCAAAACCCAACAACTGGACTTCAACTAAATGTCTATCTTTCCCCTTTTTTGAAACCAACCATTGCTCTTAATAAATCCCTGCGAGTAAAGTCTGACAGCAAAGACCAAGTCTGTGGATAAGATGATAAAAGCGATCTCGCGAAAAGGTATCCTGATGTAAAGTCATCTCGTTCTAAGAAATTGCTTTCATTGGAAAAACACCAGAATCCCTGCTCAATTATCATCTCCCTCTTGTCAAGCCAGGATTCCACACAGAACACTCCCTTTATTTACTAAGACCCAAACACTAGTGAGAGAATACGCATTCTGTGCAGTGAATCATCTGGAACTAACTAGAATTTGGACTTTTTCCCCCCACGTACACACCACCTTTCATAAGAAATGGTTCAGAGTTCTGCTCAGTAAAATGTGCACGTCACCGCCACGTGCGGCTCTCCCTGCACCCCAGGGGCTGACGAGAGCAGACCAGAGGGTGGAGCCACAGCAGAAGCAGAAAGGCGCCCGAGGCCGGCACTTCCTTTTGGGAAGAAGATCTGATTGTAAACGGGCCATTCAATGTGGGTGAGAGAGACAGAGAAAGGGGGAAAACAATCATATACTCCTCTCTTCTTTTTATAAAATGGTGAATCCAGATGATCCACCTGTGAAATAATCTCGCCACACAAGAACCATACTGCAGACGTTTGCTTTGAAGTAAATTTATTATTGTTTTTCAAGTTGGGTACCAGGGGAAGATTTAACAGTTAAAAAAAAAACAACTCTGGAATACACTGAGACCTTAAAAAAGAGGGGAGGACATTATTAAAAATGACAACAGACAATAGAAATGGCGTTTAAAAAGGCAGGGCAATCAGTCTGGTTTGAATGGGTATGTGTGTGTTTGTTTAAAGCACTTCCAACATCTCCATAAAGAAAAAGGATTGTTGCAATCCTGTCAAATAAATCGTTGTTTGAATCAATAAATACATTTAGAACGAAAAGAAGCACTTACAAACCACTGACAAAGGACTTCAGGTCCATGTCCTTGTCACCTTTGTGGATTTTTTTTGTTTTAACCATCGTTTCCAAATTGTCATCTCCAGGTCCTGGGTCAAAACCTCTTGTCCTTGGGATCACCGTCCCTGTCAAGAGAGCACAAGCATGTATGTTCTTCAGTCCTCACCACAGGAAATATAATCAGCATAAACTTTTAAAACCAACGTCTCAACTTAAAAAACAATGACTCACCTCTTGCTGGGAGAGCTGTGATCTTCATCCTGAGCACGATCCAGACACCTCGTCAAAGATGAGTGGCAATGCCCCTCCCCCCACCGTCTCACCAGGACGTTCGTTCCTCTTACAGCAGATGAGCAGTAGCTCTGAGAGCAGCACTCACAGTCAGCACCCCAACAGCAAGACAGAAACCACCACATTAGGTGGCAACTGCCTAGGGGGAGAGCCATAAACTAAACCTCCTCAAAAGCACCTTCCAGGCATCAGTGTGATGTAATGTGGAGAAAAATGTCCCATGATTTACTTATTAACTGAAAACATTATTTACTGAGCAACTGCCACTTGCACGGCCCCATGCTAGGTGCGGAGTGGGCTACAAAGCGCAACAACCTGTTCAATTAAAGAGCACCTTGCTACCTACCTCCACCTCAAAAGCAAACATGAGTCGGAATGCAGAGTGAACCCATCAAGAAAGGGCAAAGCCCTGTTTTAATACAGCCATCAAATATGCTGGAGTTTGAAATGTTCCAATAACAATGCTTACTGGAAATAAATCACCTGATTAAGCTGTTTTGCCCTTTCAAAACTACCTTGGGAGCCAGTAAACATTATTCAAACTTCTGACATACTGAGTATGTTAGGTCTGATGGCATACTGTTACTGATAATGAATCTGGAACATTCTACTACCCTGCCCCCAGCCAGGAGGGGTAAATGCCTCCATGCCTACAATGCTTCGTTGCAAAGCAAGTATTACTATTATTTTATGGTAAGAGATGAGGAAATCATTTTTCCACCTTCTGAATGTTATACTTATTCAACAGAATATTTAATGAGCACCTACTATGTATAAACCAGTGTCTGATGCTAATGATACACTGACATTTAATATGTGCTTACTATGTATACACCACTCTTCAAGTGCTTTACATGAATGAGTCAACTTGGCTATTCCTCATAACAACCCTATTTTACAGATGGAAACTGTGCACAGAGATCGAGCAGTTTGGCCAGCGCAACATACCAGGCGAGTCGCTAGGCAGGACTACAAACTGACTTCAGAGCCAGAACTCCCTCGAGTAAACAACATTGCCTCTCATTAGTAAAATGTGGTTTCTCCTTAAGGAACTTATCTAAATTCCTCCTGAGGAAGATATTTCCTCTGGGCAGTTTCTAGGATTGCATCCCTAGAGCTCCCAGGCAAACAGAAGCACTGCATGCTCGCCCTTCAGACAGGTAAAATGCCCCAAGTCTAGAGTGATTCACGGTCTGGCGAGCAAGCAACAGGGCCAAGGAGGCAGGGCCAGCGCTGGGAGCTGGGCCAGTGCCACCAGCAGAGGCAGGCAAGTTGCCCCAGGAGGAGGAGGAGGACTGTGGTTGGGCCGGCTGGGCAGTGTCCCCAAGTTCCTGACAACAGACAGCACCTGTGTGCAAGGCTGCGAGTTGACCTGGGGCAGCAGCTGGATGTGAGCCTTCCTGAACTCCCATGGGTGGCTACAAGGGAGAAGAATTCAGAATCTGCACAGGGGATTTGAGTGACCAAGCCACAAAGGGACAAAGGACTCAAGAGGGGCTCGGGGGCTGCTGCCCTTGCTCTCTCTGGGTGCACTGGAGATGGTGATATATACACAGTGCCACAAACCCCCACATCCCACAACTCCTGTCCCAAATACTATTCGCTTCTAGTATCTACCTGTCTTTTCCCAAGATGCTTGGTGTTATTAAAAAAAAATCAACTCTCATGGCAGATCAGCAAGTTAGTTATTTCACTACAGATGCAGAACGAAAGGGAACAGAGTGACCATGATTGGTGCATTGGGGAAGACTTCTGAGATACCAACCCAGTAAGAACCAGACACTGAGCTTTGCCCCTTGGAAGCACCAACAATTAGAGGTAAAAGTGTGAAACAGCTATAAACAGATTCATCCATAAGCAAATCCATCCAGCATTTACCCCAGCGAGAACCTCTGGGTCTACGACCTCCCTCAAACCCTATTTATGACTTCTCCCACAGTCTCCCATCTCAACAGCAAGAAATAAACCCAGAGCTCTCAAACCCAAACCTTTCCTCCTCCGACTCATTCAAGGTGGCCAAGCTCCAGGGCTCTGTGAGCAAGGAAACGCAGCCCGGCGACACCGAGCTAGCACTCGCCCACTGCTGGAACTGCTCCTCTGAGCACGGAGGCTTACTCTCCACCACGTGACAAGGAACACAAACAAGTCAATTTCATTATCCACTGATTTAAACATTTGTAATCACATTGCTAGGAAGCTGCTGAAAAGAAAACACAAGCAGTTTTGGTTGATAATGAAGATCAACTGATTAATGATTAACTGCTTAGTACTGGAGACAATCTACTGATTCCCACCTTGAAATAAAGTTTTATACATTGGCTACAACAGGAGCTACAGGCCCCCTCCTCCGTCCCAAACCTTTTACCTAAGTGGTCAGCTTTTCTGTATCTTTCTATATTCACCAGGGAGACACGATTTCAGCATACATATTTTGGTGGTGGTAGTGGGTGTCAAGTATTTGTTTGTTATTGTTGAACGTACATATCTATCAAACTTTGTGCTTTAACTTTCAAAAGAATTTTACACACTTGACTTCAGTTAACGTTACCCATGATATAATTAAAATTACACAAATATCCATGGGTAAACTATTAAATTTCATGATTTCTCCTTCAAATTATTTTTTCTGTACAAAGTGTACTCTTTCATTTAAATTCAATATGCTTACCCAAAAAGTATCTGACAATCCTAGTCGTGGACATGCATTACTTTGCTATATTCTGTGGCTTAAAGAAGACTGAACAGGTACTCTCTCCAACTATCACACATGAATTATACATTTTCAAAAATGTGTAATTCAGACAATGTGATTTAAAATTTATACAAAATATATCTGAAGTCTGGTGATTTGATTCTGTGTACTATGCACCACTGAGAATGTACATTTTTAAATTAAAAAATTACAGAAATGAATCTGAAATATTACAACAGATGTTATCTATACCTTTTGAATATGAAACCAGTATGAGTTGTAAAAAGTATTTATTAATTTCATTAGTCAATAATACAAGAAAAAAAAGTGTGTTTTCCTGAAAAATTTCAACAAACTTCATCCCAAAAATGATTCAAGTTTTTTGAAATGTTATACATGTGTCTTGCTGGACAACTCCTAGGCCTCTGGTTTTCATTTATAAAACGGTGGAAGTGGGAAACTGTTCTAAATCCTTAGCTAAAATAATCAGTAACAAGAGCATATGTCATGCGTATGCAAAGCACAAAGGTTGCAAATTTATCTTCGAGTAAGTATCTAGTCCCTATTTAGCACACAGTTAATTATATCCATTTTTCATACTAAATAAACATTTGCAATCCAATAATGCACTACTAAAACAGCAACAGAATTAAAATGTCTCTACCAAGTGGGCTGGCTATTTGCACAAAGCCTATGCATCATTACTAAACGTTCCAGAGCTTCAGTGCCCAGAGTCAGCACAGTCCTGGTGACAGCAAGGATCTAAGACAGTACAACGAAGGGCCTCAGGCCACAAGCCCTAGACCCAAAGGACCAGAGGCTCAGGCAGCAGGCGGTCACACCCTTAGCAGGGGGACAGGAGACAGTCGTGGTCATCTGCTTGGAGAACCTAGGCACTCATGAAAACAAAGTAAGTCTACATAGGATTTTCTCTTAAACTCACCTTGAATGACTTTTTTTTTGAACCCCTTCTTGCCTTTTGTACAGTTCTGGAGAAAAGAGGGAAAGGAAATGAAGTAGAGAGCTGCAGTCAGTACATCTGGATTAATGAGCTGACACTATATGACTGAGACTACGTAACCATGTAGAAGATGCATGTGGTATCTTCTAAGTGGAAAGAAGTGAGACACAAGGCGTGATTTAAAAAACATGTACATAGAGGATAGATAGGGTGTATATACAAAAGCACACAACCAGTTCTTGCGTTTGGAACAAGAGCATTTGGGGGTCGGGTCACTACTTCTCTTCTCTGTTTCAAAAACTGTCTAGTAAAGTTATGTTGCCTTTATAATAGTTTTCTTCAAGAAGGCAAGGCAGAGAATCTAATATGTGGCCCCAGGACACATAGCTTAGTTACGGGAAGTAAGATGTTCAGGAAATAAAACCACAGAGACGGAATTTAGGCAACATCTCTGAGTGACCATTAAAGAGATTTGGGTCTCTTTACAAGGCAAGGCCTTTCCCCACATGTAACTAAGATCCAAGAATCTTTGAATGTGAAAAGTCCTAGGGAATTTCTGTATCAGTCCTTTTGATGGTCTGATCTTGACACACAGCAAGGGCCAGACATTAGCTACTATACACCTAATAAGGACCTTATTAACTGCAGAAAGGAAGACTCAGGAGCGAGGTGCCTACAGCTTTATGTGAGCCTCTTAGAAGTCAATCTACATGTATTCATTTATATGAATTAATGAACGATGGCTACAAACTTTTTTCCTGTTGGAATTAACAGAACCTAACAGCTCAAATTAGAAGAAAATGCCATCATCACAGAAGAATGGACATAAAGAGATGGATTATCAGGACAAGAATGCTGACCCCATGAGGAATTTTTTAACAGATATGCATGTTGCATATATGCATGTGCCTATGAGTACATGCACACATAATCTGTAATGTGTGCATGGATGTCCACTGCGATGACACAGTTTTATACCGTAACAAAAGACAGACAGACAGAGTCTGTTTCCATTAACTCTAAATCACACTTGCAGACTCCGGGACACCTGCCCACTGCATGCTGCCGATCCACTGGCTCCCCTGCAAGGCTTCCCTAGGTCACTGGCGACTTTGTCTCTACCCCTAAGAGCCCATCTGCTTGCTTTCTCTAGCACAAAAGTGACCTTTTCTCCCCAAGGACTGTCTCAGAGTCCAGCTGTAGGCCAAACAGCTGGTCAGAGTTTAGTTCAAGAAACTGACTTCCCCCACAATAGCTCTGTGGGGTTCTTTTCAGGACTCAGGGCAGTGTGGCTATCCGTACAGCTGGACACAGCACTTGCTGGTCGCACTTCACACCCTCTTCTCTGGTTCTTGCCTTCCAGGAGTCTATTTTTCATTTACAAGGACTGTTTACCTTGGCTTATGACCTGAGGAGCACTACCCTCCTTCAAGTGTATTTCCCAGTCCTCTGCCTCCATTCATTTATTTTATTAGTTATTTAAGACCGAGGGTAAATGTGCTATTCCAGCAGCAAGGACAGCTCTAGGTCCTTCACCTACCACCTCAAATTAACTGAGGAAGCACAGGTTTTGAGATGCACACATCTCTAACTAGAGCAGTCCTGTTAAGTCAAACACTCCCTCTGCTGATAAAGTTGAAGAGAACACAACACTCCAAGGAGAACATACTTGGCCCCAGGGTCTGGGAGCTGACTTTTTAAGCTTTCAACAGTAATGAAGCCACATGAAAGTTAAAAAGATTATTATTAAAGAGTTAGAGAAAAATCAAGTGGACCCTCAAAGAATTACCTCGTTTAGAAACTTCCCTTTTCATTGCCAACTAAGCGTTATAACTTAGCAATCAGTTCCAGCTTGCCCTTCTCCCCCTTCCAAAAACGTGTATAACCACCAGTGCTGATGAATAAAAGGCTCCAAAGTGGATTACTGGAAAGCCACCAATTCATGACACCCACATGATGAACAATTACCATCAGGTTGTGAGATGAGATTCTTAAAAGGCAGGAAAGTTGAACAGGCCACACTGTAGCAGAGACATCAAAATTCAACCTACCCCAAGAGAACAGGGCTCTCTGAGCACATTCCCTAAAGTGATAAAAGGGTTTGGGTCCCCAAGCTTATACTCAGGGTAATTCTGTATCTGCTGTTTAGGACCCGGTCTACTTTATCTTGGCCAAATCTCTCTTCTTTCCCAGTTGAAAAGCAAAAGCTTAGTGCCAAATGTGCCACCCAAAGGTTGCAACTGGCTGTTGTATCCTTAAGTGTCTCGTGTCATACTGCCTCAATTTGCCAACCACTTTAAGACCTTTAGAAAAGTAAACAAACAAACAAACAAGTTCATGACTAGCGCTGAAGGAAAAACAACTACACACTGCTCAGTAACAAGTTGGGACTCCAGCCATTAGTCATCAAGAATTCCTCAGTCCCTGAAGTCATAGGATTTGGAGTAAATCCAAATGGGATTTTGCTTTTTAAAATTCCTTATATTGCATTCCTACGGACTTCCTGTGCAAGCCATTGTGAGGCATTTTTATTATTCACAGTCACACACTTCCACCCTCATGTTGTTGGCTTAGGATTTCCTTCCCCAAAGACGCTGTACAGTTAAATTCCTGTGGACATGTGCAGATCACCTGGAGCAGTAAACGGGCTGTGTCATTCACTGGCACAGGCTCACAGACTGCGCGTACAATACATGTTTCTTAAACTCCCTCCTCATTAGTCAACATTCATGTTTAAGACCCAATCCTAGATTCACTGAGAATCCAGAAATCTGTTTTATCATCATCAATTATTCATATAGTCACATGAAGTGTGTCTATAAAGTAATTCACAATTGTTTGTCAGCTGTTTACAAACAACTGATCACCACAGCATCCCAACTGCCCCTGGTGCTAAGGAGAAAGTTATAAGCAGCCACCCACGAGGAAATTCTTACAAGCAGATGAAGGCTTGGCAAATGAAAGATGACACCTTTATGACAAACTGGCAAGAAGAAAAGTCCCCACGGATAAAAATTACCTTTAAATATTAGCAAAAATAAACACAGCTGAAACTAACCCACTGTAGCAAAATTTTAAAATAATAGATTCTAAGAAAAATTAGGAGGGAGAGGAGGGGAAGGAGAGGACCCGGACAGTTCTGAGCTGCCTTCTGCCAACAATATGACTGGTTCTCTTTACAGGTAAGTGTCGTTTGTTTCAGTTTCCACAATGCAGACCGAACTGTTTGGATGGAAAAGTTTTTATATAATATCCTGGATGACCTTGAGTCCAGATTTAGTCAACAAATGCTCATTGAGTTCTTCCTGTGTGCCAAGCGCTAGAATAACACACAATCCTGGCACTCAAGTGGTTCACAATGAGGCCCGGAGACAGAAATGTGAACTCTTAACGCAGAGTGAAAAGTGCTCTAACGAGGGAGGGAGAAGGTGCTATTTAAGGGCCCTGAGGGGGGTGGTGGGGGCCGAGGGGGTGGCATTACTTTTTCCTGGGCAGGCAGGAAGGCTTCACAAAGGAAGCAGCCTAAAATGGTAGCGTCGGAGGATGGGAACACATTTTGAAGGTTGTTCGGATAACTTCGGGGAATCTGAAAGCCAACACCACACCCATTTTCCAGTGACTGGCTTTGCCCCTACACCTTTAGTGGCAGCAGATATCAGGAGGTGTGTGTCGAACATACCTCCTAATTTTCTGAGTTTTCAAAGGGGCTTTGTCCAAGATAAAGTTGAAATAAACTATAGGCAGGTATGAAATTTAGGAGTCAAATTTTCCTTTACCTGTGGGCTTTAACTAATAACATGCAAATTACTAAAACTCTATGGGAAGTTAAACACTTATTATACTAAGACTATTTTTTAAAAAAGTAAAGTTGGGATCATTACATACATGAAATATATCCCTTCCGAACAAACAAACAAAAAATCTCACTGTCCATCTTTCCTGGGAGTCATCCTTCACTTTCCCCTTTTGTAGCTCCTAATATCTTCTACTTTTCCATTCTCTCAAGAAATAGTATCACCAGCATTTCTGACGCAAGGGCACATGCTCACATATTCACACACAGTTTAAAAAATATAATACATGGACTATTTTCAGTGCCAAATGC